TGCACGTATCGGAGAGAGATCTCAAATTTGATGCGTAAGTGTCGATTGATTCACCGGCGTCTTGATTGCGATTATTGAAGCGATATCTTTCATAAATAATGTTCGTTTTCCCGAGGCAATAGGATTCCCATAATTCGAGGATTTTCGCTAAATTCTTCTTCTCGTCTTCGCTCTGGAACGGAAGGCCATTGTGAATAGTGAGCGCTTTTGGACCAATACATGTGATAAATGCAGCCACTCGATACTCGTCGGTCTGCTCATTGAGACGCGTGACTAATTCGTAAGCACTCCAAACCTGCTTCCACTGCTTCCAATTATTAGCAAGGTTTCCAGATAATTCAATTTTTGGAGGAACATGGACGTTACTTGTAAATATCGGTGCTTGAACAGCTTGTACGGGTTGTCCTCCTTCATTCGGTGGATCGCCGGGCATGCTTCAATCGCTTGCTAAACTCGCTGTTGACCAGGGTTGACGTTCAAAGGACGTTGTTAACCAAACGAAAGCGAGAATTCGAACCGCTTTCTGACACCATGTAACGTTGTGGTTTTGTACAGCAACAAACGGGTCTTGTAAACATAAACAAACGATACTTTTAATCCATAAGTCGGTTCACTGAAGACTCGTGTACAAGATCGCGAGCACATGTAAAATCTAGCATCCTATTGGATAACAACTATCACGTGACGTTACAATCTTGACTACAGGACATTTCCTCACCTGGTTAGAATGTTTAAAAGAAATTTGTTTAAAGAATACCAGGAATATTGGTCAAAAAGTCTGAACAACAAGGATAAATTTGACTCCTCAGTTGGCAATAAATTAAATCTGTATAGTGAAGTGAAAAACGAAGTCAGATTTGAATCTTAACTTGATTTAATAAAGAATGTTAAGACAAGAGTGGCAGTAACCAAAATGCGAATTTCTTGCCACTTGCTACCTCTTGAATCTGGGCGCTACGAGAAGATACCCAGAGTTGAGAGTCTTTGCCCCCTTTGTAATAGATCCAAAATTGGTGATGAATTCCACTATTTGTTGAAATGTACCCACTCATCACTTTCTCATATAAGGGGTATCTTCTTGGAGAGCCTATGCTTGATAAACAGTAATGTTACGAATATGTCTTGCGAGGCACTGTTTTTATATATCACGTCCATATGCGATGAAAACATCATAAATCTCCGTGCCTCTTATATTGAAAATATTCTAAATTGTTATTCATCCGTACTCTAATTAAACTTTCTTAATACCATACGAGTAGCATAGAAACCGTACAAAGCCAAGTAATTTTTCTTTTATGATATTCAATTGTTCCTTTCTTTCTTACTTAACTTTTATTTTACTTTTTCATTTGTCATTGTCATTGTTTTGGTACTGAAATCTTCGTGTCGAAGATAAAGTCAATAAAGTTGTTTAATTAATTAAATTGTCAGAACATTAAGTTAAGAAGCTAATCGGGGACACAAAAGAAAAATTCCTATCTACAAACACATTTACAAAACCTGAAACCCAACCCCCCACCACCCGACCCCTTCCTCGACCCCTCATTTTTTTAAAAAAAGAAATAATAAAAAAGTAAATTAAAAAAAGCAAGCAAACAAATAAAAAATTACCGTATTATCACCGTCTCGCACTTTTTACCATGAAGCTCGAAGGGTGACCCAGATACACATGAATTAATTAATTTTCTATGGTTGTACTAAGGCTGGCAAACCTCTATATCGCCAGTATATGCAAAACTTTGCGTGCTTTTAATGTAATGACTGCATTTAAAATTTGATCGTGAACATGCATATAAATTCCATTAAGGAAAATCTGTTTGCATTAGGTCTTTTACATTTGGCTAAATATTGAGGAGACTGTATCGAAATCTAACAATACACAAACTGTCCCAAGTATGTCTCCAAACATCCTGACATACCCCGACAATTTAGAGGACATTGCAAGCTTAATAAAGGCACATCCGAAGCTTATTTTTTGTTTCAAAACAATTCTAAACTCCTACAACACGATCGGTAAAAGAATCTGAAGCATTTAAGCTTATTTCACAGCAATTATTGCGATTTTGCACACATTTCAGCAGACATTTGAGTGAGGTGAATTTGTCTTCTCTATGATCATGACAAATCAATTTAAAAACTGGCTTTCATTAATTACAATACCTGTTCCTGTAGTTTGTGTTTTCCAAGGATGTGTTATAAGCAGATGTTGATATTTCGCCCAATCTCTTCTTAGAATACTCATTACGGCTTGCCATATATCTTTATTTTGTGAGCGAAGTCCACTAGCCATCCACTAGCCAGAATGGCGCGAGCCGTACAAGGTAGGTACTTTAAGTAGGGTTATTAAAGGTTATCAAGAATGCATTTAATATAATGTATTGACGGTTACTACTTCATGTAAGCCCTATGTATAATGTCCTGAGACATATGTATATAGTATTTCCAGATGATGTACCGAAAGGTAAACGTTTTAGTTGGCATTATAGCTCATGTAGTTATTGTAGTTGTTGTGGATCCTGTGGTTATTGTAGTTGCAGCAGTTGTGTAGTTCCTGTAGTTGTGTAGTTCCTGTAGTTGTGTAGTTCTTGTAGTTCCTGTAGTTCCTGTAGTTCTTGTAGTTCCTGTAGTTGCTGTAGTTGCTGTTGTTATTGTAGTTGTGTAGTTCTTGTAGTTGCTGTAGTTGCTGTAGTTCTTGTAGTTCTTGTAGTTGTGTAGTTCTTGTAGTTCCTATAGTTGCTGTAGTTGCTGTAGTTGCTGTAGTTGTTGTACTTGTGTAGTTCTTGTAGTTGTGTAGTTCTTGTAGTTCCTGTAGTTGCTGTAGTTGTTTTAGTTATCGTAGTTCCTGTAGTTCCTGTAGTTGTTGTAGTTGCTGTAGTTGCCGTAGTTCTTGTAGTTGTGTAGTTCTTGTAGTTCCTGTAGTTGTTGTAGTTGTTGTAGTTATCGTAGTTCCTGTAGTTGTTGTAGTTGCTGTAGTTGCTGTAGTTGTGTAGTTGTTGTAGTTGTGTAGTTCTTGTAGTTCCTGTAGTTGTTGTAGTTGCTGTAGTTGTGTAGTTGCTGTAGTTGTTGTAGTTGCTGTAGTTGTGTAGTTGCTGTAGTTGTGTAGTTGCTGTAGTTGTGTAGTCGCTGTAGTTGTTGTAGTTACTGTAGCTGCTTTAGTTTCTGTAGTTGCTGTAGTTGTGTAGTCGCTGTAGTTGTTGTAGTTGTGTAGTTCTTGTAGTTCCTGTAGTCGCTGTAGTTGTTGTAGTTGTGTAGTTCTTGTAGTTCCTGTAGTTGCTGTAGTTCTTGTAGTTCTTGTAGTTGTGTAGTTCTTGTAGTTCCTGTAGTTGCTGTAGTTGCTGTAGTTGCTGTAGTTGCTGTAGTTGTTGTAGTTGTGTAGTTCTTGTAGTTGTGTAGTTCTTGTAGTTCCTGTAGTTGCTGTAGTTGTTGTAGTTATCGTAGTTCCTGTAGTTCCTGTAGTTGTTGTAGTTGCTGTAGTTGCCGTAGTTCTTGTAGTTGTGTAGTTCTTGTAGTTCCTGTAGTTGTTGTAGTTGTTGTAGTTATCGTAGTTCCTGTAGTTGTTGTAGTTGTTGTAGTTGATGTAGTTGTGTAGTTGTTGTAGTTGTGTAGTTCTTGTAGTTCCTGTAGTTGTTGTAGTTGCTGTAGTTGTGTAGTTGCTGTAGTTGTGTAGTCGCTGTAGTTGTTGTAGTTACTGTAGCTGCTTTAGTTTCTGTAGTTGCTGTAGTTGTGTAGTCGCTGTAGTTGTTGTAGTTACTGTAGCTGCTTTAGTTTCTGTAGTCGCTGTAGTTGTTGTAGTTGTGTAATTCTTGTAGTTCCTGTAGTTGTGTAGTTGCTGTAGTTGTTTAGTTGTTGTAGTTGCTGTAGATGTTGTAGTTACCGTAGTTGTTGAAGTTGTTGTCGTTGCTATAGATGCCCGAATGGGCTATTTACTCAGAGGCCATGAAGGCGAGAGGAATAATTGTTTTAGTAAAGTCCAACTAGTTGGTCAAAAATTTCGAGACCAAACAACTTTAGCGATAGTTAAAGCTAGACTTTTTTGCCTCCAAAAGCCGGCGCTTTTCGCTACTAGTGGGCTATAACATATCGCCTAGTATTAGCTCAACCAATCAGAACGCAGCATTGATAACAGACCACTAGTTGGATTTTACTAATATCGTACATACTGTCTCGCCAAAATCGGGAAGTTTAGTATCTGCGAAATTAACTAAAAGTTAGATATTGAGTCATTTCTTAATGCTGAAGAGTTGAAAGATCAACGGATTTTTATTTTTATCTCCTTTCAATATATTTTTTCACAGTGTCGACACTAACAGAGACAAAGAGACTTGTGTGTTCGTGTGGCAAGAATAATAAAGAAGATCAGGACTCTTGTATTCCGACCGTGGATGGGAAGACGCGCTGTCCCTGTGTTGAGACACGTATTTCCTGTACACGAGATTGTAGGTGCAAGGGATGCAGAAACAAAGAAAGCCAGGAACTTTGCAAAGTAACCTCTAACAGCGTATCCTGCAGGTGTGGAGTCGATAAAAGCAGAAAAAATGTAGAATACGTCGCTTGTGTAGATGGGAAAAGGAAAACCAAATGTCCATGTGTACGCGCAAGAGCATGTTGTGGGCTGAAATGCTCATGCAGTAACTGTGGGAATTGTGACAACAAGCCGGATAAAGTTACCGATTTAGTGAAAATCCCAGCAAAGAGAAAGCGTGAAAGTCCTGTACCACTCAAGAAGAGGCGGAGTGCGGAGTATCTCGCATCTAATAGTTTAAACCCGTCAGCCGGACCATGGAATACTCATGAAACATGCCTTCTCTTTAGTACCATGCAGCTAATTGAGGCAACGGTAGTTGACAGTACACTGGAAGGCATAACGTCCCTCTATAACTATGTTGCCAACTCCCATCTCACTAAAAAAGGAAAATTTTCCAATCAGATCAAAAAATCAAATGCAACTTTTAAGAAAAGTAACACAACTAAAGAAAAGGCAGACTGTCATTAGTGCTCTAGGGAACAAGTAAAAACTATATAGTTGCACAAATATTTTCCTTCGTTAATCTCAGGGGTCTTGTAACTAAATATAGTAAGCTTTACGCAATGTTATGTATACAGTATGTAGAATGCATCTATTAAACTTTTCTTACCGAACCCAATAATGCAGCGCTGTGCTTTTTTAAAACCCATCTGTGTCTCTTAATCAAATTTATACACCGGGACACCGGGCCAATATAAAAAATGCTACACTTAAAAAACAAGTTCCTTTCAACCGAGTTAATAGATTAAAAAAACAAAGAATATAAATACGCCCAACATATCGTCCATAAACGTGAAAGCAACCTGTTGAGTAGGAAAAACAAGATTATTTGGAGTCCAGAAGGGCGTTAATTAATTCGGGTTAATTGGAGGGGGAAATAATAAAAATAAACGTAAAGGAAATCAAAGCAACCACAATCACTAAAAAAACTAAGTAACTACAGTAACTACATCAACTACAACAACTACACAACTACAAAGGCCACGTAAGTACAACAACTACAGGAACCACACAACTACAGCAACTACAACAACTACAGTAACTACAAGAACTACAATAACTACACAACTACAACAACTACAAGAACTACGATAACTACACAACTACAGCAACTACAGCAACTACACAACTACAACAACTACACAACTACAACAACTACAGGAGCTACACAACTACAGGAACTACAACAACTACAGTAACTACAAGAACTACAATAACTACACAACTACAGGAACTACACAACTACAACAACTACAAGAATTACAACAACTACAGCAACTACAGTAACTACAAGAACTACAATAACTACACAACTACAGCAACTACAATAACTACAGGAACTACATAACTTCAACAACTACAGCAACTACAAGAACTACAACAACTACAGCAACGACAGTAACTACAAGAACTACAATAACTATACAACTACAGGAACTACAATAACTACAGGAACTACATAACTACAGAAACTACAGCAACTACAACAACTACAATAACTACACAACTACAGGAACTACAACAACTACAGCGACTACAACAACTACACCAACTACAGCAACTACAACAACTACAATAACTACACAACTACAGGAACTACACAACTACAGCAAACTACAAGAACTACAAGAACTACACAACTACAGCAACTACAACAACTACAGAAACTACAGGAACTGCACAACTACAGCAACTACAATAACTACAGAACTACAGGAACTACAACAACTATAGTAACTACAGCAACTACAACAACTACAAGAACTACAATAACTACACAACTACAGGAACTACAATAACTACAGGAACTACATAACTACAACAACTACAGCAACTACAACAACTACAACAACTACAACAACTACAGAAACTGCAGCAACTACAAGAACTACACAACTACAGCAACTACAACAACTACAGCAACTACAACAACTACAATAACTACACAACTACAGGAACTACCCAACTACAGCAAACTACAAGAACTACAATAACTACACAACTACAGCAACTAAAACAACTACAGAAACTACAGCAACTACACAACTACAGCAACTACACAACTACAGCAACAACAATAACTACAGAACTACAGGAACTACAACAACTATAGTAACTACAGCAACTACAACAACTACAAGAACTACAATAACTACACAACTACAGCAACTACAACAACTACAGAAAGTACAGCAACTACAATAAGTACACAACTACAGGAACTACACAACTACAGGCACTACACAACTACACAACTACAGCAACTACGACAACTACAATANACAACAACTACAAGAACTACAATAACTACACAACTACAGCAACTACAACAACTACAGAAAGTACAGCAACTACAATAACTACACAACTACAGGAACTACACAACTACAGGCACTACACAACTACACAACTACAGCAACTACGACAACTACAATAACTACACAACTACAGCAACTACAGCAACTACAACAACTAAAGAAACTACAACAACTACAATAACTACACAACTACAGCAACTACAGCAACTACAACAACTACACGAACTACACAACTACAATAACTACACAACTACAGTAACTACAGTAACTACAATAACTACACAACTACAGGAACTACGCAACTACAACAACTGCAGCAACTACAAGAACTACAACAACTACAGCAACTACAGTAACTACAAGAACTACAAGAACTACACAACTACAGCAACTACAACAACTATAGGAACTGCACAACTACAGGAACTACAGTAACTGCAACAACTACAGAAACTACACAACTACAACAACCACAGGAACTACACAACTACAATAACTACAACAACTACAGAAACTAAAGGAACTGCACAACTACAGCAACTACAAGAACTACAGAAACTACAGCAACTACAAGAACTACACAACTACAGCAACTACGACAACTACAATAACTACACAACTAAAGCAACTAAAGAACCCGCAACAACTACAGAAACTACAGCAACTACAACAACTACACAACTACAGGAACTACACAACTACAGCAACTACAACAAGTACAGGAACTACACAACTACAGGAACTACAGTAACTACAACAACTACAGGAACTACACAACTACAGCAACTACAACAACTACAGGAACTACACAACTACAGGAACTACAGTAACTACAACAACTACAGAAACTACACAACTACAACAACCACAGGAACTACACAACTACAATAACTACAACAACTACAGAAACTACAGGAACTGCACAACTACAGAAACTACACAACTACAACAACTACAGGAACTACACAACTACAATAACTACGCAACTACAGTAACTACAGTAACTACAATAACTTCACAACTACAGTAACTACACAACTACAGCAACTACAGCAACTACAAGAACTACAATAACTACAGCAACTACAGGAACTGTATTAACAACGGTAACTAACTATAATCAGTGTAATAGTATGGTATCTGTCACAACTTAGACATGTGGGGCCTTATATGTCTCAGGACATTATACGTAAGGCTTACATGAAGTACCGACCGTATTGACATGTATACCCATGTAATCTCATGTATAGCCATGTATTACCATGTATAGCCATGTAATGCCATGTGTAGCCATGTAAAGCCATGTATTACCATGTATACCTATGTAATGCCATATATTGCCATGTATTACTATGTATAGCCATGTATAGCCATGTATAGCCATGTATAGCCATGTATTGTAATGTATTACCATGTATAGCAATGTATAGCTATGTATAGCCATGTATAGCCGTGTATAGCCATGTATTACCACGTATAGCCATGTATTACCATGTATACCCATGTATAGCCATGTTTTCCCATGTATTACCATCTATTGCATGTACTACCATGTATAGCCATGTATAGCAATGTATACCCATGACATGCCATATATTGCCATGTATTACCATCTATAGCCATGTATACCCATGTAATGCCATGTATTGCCATGTATTACCATGTATCGCCGTGTATTACCATGTATAGCCATGTCTACCATTGTATAGCCATGTATTGCCATGTATAGCCATGTATAGCCATGTATTGTCATGTATTAACATGTATAGCCATGTATACAGACGTAATGCCATGTATTGCCATGTATAGCCATGTATAGCCATGTATAGCCATGTATAGCCATGTATAGCCATGGTATGCCATATATAGCCATGTATAGCCATGTATTGAAATTTATTACCATGTATTACCATGTATAGCCATCTATAGCCATGCAATGCCATGTATAGCCATATATAGCCATGTATAGCCATGTATAGCCATGTTATGCCATGTATAGCCATGTATAGCCATGTATTACAATGTATTGCCATGTATTACCATGTATAGCCATGTATAGCAATGTATTGCCATGTACACCCATGTATTACCATGTATTGCTATGTATCACCATGTATAGCCCTGTATAGCCATGTATACCTAGGTACTGCCATTTATACCCATGTATAGCCATGTTATGCCATGTATACCCATGTATAGCCATGTATAGCCATGTTATGCCATGTATAGCCATGTATAGCAATGTTTTGCCATGTATAGCCATGCATAGCCATGTATTGCCATGTAATGCCATGTATAGCCATATATAGCCATATATAGCCATGTATAGCCATGTATTGCCTTGTATTACCATGTATTGCCATGTATTACCATGTATAGCCATGTATAGCCATGTAATGCCATGTATAGCCATATATAGCCATGTATAGCCATGTATAGCCATGTATTGCCATGTATTACCATGTATTTCCATGTATCACCATGTATAGCCCTGTATAGCCATGTATACCTAGATATTGCCATTTATACCCATGTATAGCCATGTATAGCCATGTATAGCCATGTATAGCCATGTTATGCCATGTATAGCCATGTATAGCCATGTTATGCCATGTATAGCCTTGTATAGCCATGTTATGCCATGTATAGCCATGTTTTTCCATGTATAGCCATGCATAGCCATGTACATGGCTATACATGGCTATACATGGGTATAAATGGCTATACATGGTAATACATAGCAATACATGGCAATACATCGGTATACATGGCTATACATGGTAATACATGAGGATATTACACGGTGGCGAGAAGATATGAATTTTATGTTCGAGTGGCAAAAACAATATCTCACGAGTGAGCGAAGCGAACGAGTGAGATATTGTTCTTGCCACTCGAACATAAAATTCATATCTTCTCGCCACCGTGTAATATCCTCTATGTATTACCATGTATAGCCATGTATACCGATGTATTGCCATGTATTGCTATGTATTACCATGTATAGCCATGTATAGCCATGTATTGCCATTTATTATCATGTATAGCCATGTATGACCATGTATACCCATGTATTGCCATGTATTACCATGTATCGCCATGTATTACCATGTGCTGCCATGTTTTGCCATGTATTACCATGTTTTGCCATGTATTACTATGTATTACCATGCATTACTATGTTTTGCCATGTATAGCCATGTACTGCCATGTATAGCCGTGTACTGTCATGTACAGCCATGTACTCCCATGTATTACATGTATTGAGATGTACTGCGTGTATAGCCATGTATTGCTATGTAGTGCTATTTATTACCCTGTATTGCTATGTATTGCGAAGTGTGGCCATGTTTTTACCATGTGTGTCTTAAGTNTGCCATGTATAGCCGTGTACTGTCATGTACAGCCATGTACTCCCATGTATTACATGTATTGAGATGTACTGCGTGTATAGCCATGTATTGCTATGTAGTGCTATTTATTACCCTGTATTGCTATGTATTGCGAAGTGTGGCCATGTTTTTACCATGTGTGTCTTAAGTTGGATTAAAGTCAGTGAATTGGAAAGTCTTTTTTTTGTCTGTTACATAGTTCAGGGGTAACCCAAGAAAAGGCTCTTTTTCCGAATGAAAATATAGTCTTTTAGGGAGGGCAACGTTCTTTCAGGATTGTAAACGGACACTAGTCGACAAAGATATTCAAGTGCCATTCGTCACTTTAGAAAATACCATCGTCGAAAGTCAGTTGTTTCACCATTTTCGTCAAAAAAAAAACGATCCTTTGCATTTAAAAGAACTGATTTACTAGACATACCAAATAAACACACAAGTTTCATTGAATTTTTTTCTTTGTTTGTTTTTTATTCCTTCCCATTCATATTTATTAACAGTGTTGAATTGAAGTTTTCTAGTAATATTTTCGTTATCATTTTATACCAACAAAGAACACTGAAAGACCGCTATAGATGTCTTAATAATAAATGGTACTAAATGGTACTTGACATTAAATTTAACACTTCACTCTCCAAGCCTAAGTCTGCGAATACAACCGTTTCCTTGCTCCTCGCCGCTATAGAGCGACGTTTCGAAACATTAGTAGTGCCGATGAGCGAAGAAAGACGGCTGTATTCGCAGGCTAGTCAAAACTATTTGAGTAACTTGCTGGCTACTGTAAGTGGTTTGGTGCTCCCTGACACAAAGTAACTTAACACTAAATCTGCCTTTCAGCAATTAATAGCTGTCTTCGGCATATTTTCTCGTCTTAATTGTGTCATCTAAAAATGCAAAATGTGTCTTTCAATTGAAAAAAAAACACATAAAGCCCAAGATCTCTCTGCAAAATAGGGGCAGCTGTTATCATTCTTTCAATAGGATATATACTAGACTACATACTTGACACAAAAAAGAAACTTAACACTAAGGCCGATGTTGGCGTTTCGAAAACATCAATTTTTCCACACGTTGCAGAACTATCAATTCCTGTACTGACTGGAAGTGACTCGCTGAAAACGAGTGGAGAGGATGCCTGTGAGGGGAGGGTTAAGTCCACCACCTGGACCAATGAATCAAATACACTATTGTCACAGTATTGTCAAACATACCTCCCTAGATTCTACTAATAAATTGATTATTCAGTTGAAAAATGAGTCCCTTAGTTGTTCCGTCTTATAGTGTTAAATTCAAATCGGCATTCGTACATGCGTAAAGAACAGTGAATATTTCAAGAAAACACCCATTCAGAACCTCTTTATTTGAAAAGATTTATAACAATTTTAAAGGCATAAAATTTATTTAAAAATTCAGGACAACTAAGCCGGCAAAAATTTCATCACTGACTCGCCGTAAATTCACAGTATGCAAGATTGCAGAAATAAATCTGAAATCTAAAAATAGGATTTCCTATAATCTCAAGCTAGCACAATACCGTAAAATTCAGAAAAGAAGACCCTCAATTTATAAACGCATCCGATTTTTTTATGGCGTTACATGGTAATGCATGGCAATACATGATAATACATGGCAGTACATGGGCACACATGGTAATACATGGTAATAGATGGCGATACATGGTAGTAATTAGCTATACATGGCAATACATGGAAAGACAAGGCAATACATGGCTATATACATGGCAGTACATGGTTATACATGACAATACATAGCAATACATGGCTATACATGCATGGTAATACATGCCGATACATGGTAATACATAGTAATACATGGCAATACATGGCAATACATGGAATTAAATGGCTATGCATGTCATTACATGGCTATACATGGTAATACATGGCTATACATGGCAATACATGGCAATACATAGTAATACATGGAATCACATGGCTGTACATGGTAATATATGGCAATACATGGCTATACATAGTAATACATGGCAATACATGGCTAGACATAACAGTACATGGTAGTACATGGCAATACGTGGCTATACATCGTAATACATGGCGATACATAGAAATACATACCTATACATGACAGTACATGGTAATACATGGCTATACATAGCAATACATGGCAATACTTGGCAATAAATGCCGATACATGGCAGCACATGGTAATACGTTGCGATACATGGCAATACATGGCTATACATGGCATCACATGGCAATATATGGCAACACATGGTAATACATGGCGATACATAGCAATACATCGCAAGACATGGTAATACATGACAATACATGGTAATATATGGTAATACATGGCAATAAATGGCAGTACATGGCTTAACATGGTAATACATGTCAATACATGGTAATACATGGCTATACATGGCAGTACATGGTAATACATGGCTATACATGGAAATACGTCGCTATACATGGTAAAAACATGGCGATACATGGTAATACATGGCAATACATGGTGATACATAATAATACATGGTAATACATGGTGATACATAATAATACATGGTAATACATGGCAATGCATGGTAAAACATAGTAATACATGGTAAAACATGGTAATACACGGTAATACATGGCTATACATAGCATTACATGGCTATACATGGCTATACATAGCATTACATGGCTATACATGGATATACATGGCAATACATGGTGATACATAAAAATACATGGTAATACATGGCAGTACATGGTGATACATGGCTATACATAGCAATTCATGGCAATACATTGCAATACATGATTATACATAATAATACATGGCGACACATGGCAATACATGGTAATACGTGGCTATACATAGCAATACATGGCAATACATGGCAATACATGATAATACATGGCGATACATGGCAATACATGGTAATACATGGCGATACATGGCAATACGTGGCAATACATGGTAGTATATGGCAATACATGGCAGCAAATGGAAATACATTGCGATACATGGCAATACATCGCAATTCATGGTAATACATGGCAATACATGGTAATACATGGCAATACATGGCAGCACATGGTAATACATAGCGATACATGGCAGTACATGGCTATACATGGTAATACATGGCGATACATGGTAATACATGGCAATACATTGTAATAAATGGCATAACATGGCNTAATACGTGGCTATACATAGCAATACATGGCAATACATGGCAATACATGATAATACATGGCGATACATGGCAATACATGGTAATACGTGGCGATACATGGCAATACGTGGCAATACATGGTAGTATATGGCAATACATGGCAGCAAATGGAAATACATTGCGATACATGGCAATACATCGCAATTCATGGTAATACATGGCAATACATGGTAATACATGGCAATACATGGCAGCACATGGTAATACATAGCGATACATGGCAGTACATGGCTATACATGGTAATACATGGCGATACATGGTAATACATGGCAATACATTGTAATAAATGGCATAACATGGCTATACATGGCTATACATGGCACAACATGGCTTTACATGGCTATACATGGCTATATATGGCTATACATGGCATTACATAGCTATACAGGGCTATACATGGTAATACATGGCAATACATGGTAATAAATGGCAATACATGGCTATACATGGCATTACATAGCTATACAGGGCTATAAATGGTAATACATGGCAATATATGGCATTACATGGGTATACATGGCTCTACATGGCTCTACATGGTAATACATGGTGATACATGGTAATACATGGCATTACATGGCTCTACATGGCTATACATGGCTACACATGGCTATACATGGTAATACATGGCAATACATGGCTATACATGGCTATACATGGCTATACATGGTAATACATGGCAATATATGGCATTACATGGGTATACATGGCTCTACATGGCTATACATGGTAATACATGGTGATACATGGTAATACATGGCATTACATGGCTATACATGGCTATACATGGCTACACATGGCTATACATGGTAATACATGGCAATACATGGCTATACATGAGTATACATTGTAATACATGGCTATACATGGTGATACATGGTAATACATGGTAGTACATGGCTGTACATGGCATTACATGGCTATACATGGCATAACATGGCTATACATGGTAATACATGGCTATACATGGCTACACATGGGTATACATGGTAATACATGGCAATACATGGCTATACATGAGTATACATGATAATACATGGCGACACGTGGCAATACATGGTAACACGTGGCTATACATAGCAATACATGGCAATACATGATAATACATGGCGATACATTGCAAAACATGGCTATACATGATAATACATGGCGACACATGGCAATACATGGTAATACGTGGCTGTACATAGCAATACATGGCAATACATGGCAATACATGGTTATACGTGGCGATACATGGCAATACGTGGCAATACATGGTAGTATATGGCAATACATGGCAGCAAATGGAAATACATTACGATACATGGCAATACATCGCAATTCATGGTAATACAAGGCAATACATGGTAATACATGGCATTACATGGCTATACATGGCTATACATGGCTACACATGGCTATATATGGTAATACATCGCAATTCATGGTAATACATGGCAATACATGGTACTACATGGCATTACATGGCTATACATGGCTATACATGGCTACACATGGCTATACATGGTAATACATGGCAATACATAGCTATACATGAGTATACATGGTAATACATGGCTATACATGGTGATACATGGCAATACATGGTAGTACATGGCTGTACATGGCATTACATCGCTATACATGCTATACATGGCCACACATGGCTATACATGGTAATACGTGGCAATACATGGCTATACATGAGTATACATGGTAATACATGGCAATAGGTGGTAGTACATGGCTGTACATGGAAATACATGGCTATACATGGCACTACATGGCTATACATGGCTATACATTGCTATACATGGCTATACATGAGTATACATGGTAATACATGGTAATACATGGCTATACATGGTGATACATGGTGATACATGGTAATACATGGCATTACATGGCTATACATGGCTATACATGGGTAAACATGGCTATACATGGTAATACATGGCAATACATGGCTATACATGAGTATACATGGTAATACATGGCAATACATGGTAGTACATGGCTGTACATGGAAATACATGGCTATACATGGCAATACATGGCTATACATGGCTATACATTGCTATACATGGCTATACATGAGTATACATGGTAATACATGGTAATACATGGCTATACATGGTGATACATGGTGATACATGGTAATACATGGCATTACATGGCTATACATGGCTATACATGGGTAAACATGGCTATACATGGTAATACATGGCAATACATGGCTATACATGAGTATACATGGTAATACATGGCAATACATGGTAGTACATGGCTGTACATGGAAATACATGGCTGTACATGGCACTACATGGCTATACATGGTTATACGTGGCACTTTATGGCTATACATGGCTATACATGGCTATACATGGCTATACATGGCTATACATGGTAATACATGGTAATACATGGCTATACATGGCATTACATGGTAATACATGGCTATACATGGCAATACATGGCATTACATGGGTATACATGGCTATACATAGCTATACATGGCTATACATGGCGATATATGGCATTACATGGCTATACATGGCTGTACATGGCTATACATGGCTATACATGGCTATACATGGCTATACATGGTAATACATGGCAATATATGGCATTACATGGGTATACATGGCTCTACATGGTAATACATGGTGATACATGGTAATACATGGCATTACATGGCTATACATGGCTATACATGGCTATACATGGCTACACATGGCTATACATGGCAATACATGGCTATACATGGGTATACATGGCTATACATAGTAATACATGGCAATATATGGCATTACATGTGTATAGATGACATTGTATGGCTATACACGGCATTACATGGCTATTTGGATACATTTCTTGATACACTTTAATAACCCTACTTAAAGCAGCGACTGAGCCGTAATGAGAGGTACCGCTGACCGGTTCACATGTGTACACATGGCCTTAGTACACACCACACTTTGCCACCTACACATGGCCATATACAACAACACATAGCCACCCATAGCTACACACAGCCACACATATCCACATAGCCTACACCAATGGCTACACATGGCTACACATACCTACACATAGCCACTTAGCTGGCGACACTTAGCCACACATAGCTACACACTGAGCCCCACATATATCCACACAGCCACCTATACCTACACATAGCCACAAATTGATTTTTGAATTTTCTCCTCCTCCCCGTCATGGAGGCAGCTAGTTTGCGGCCATATGTTTTATTTGAATCACTCGACTCGCATGATTATGTTAGAAGACTTTGAGTGGATCAGAATTTCACCGAGTTGAATTAACTTATAGTGGTCGCTAATTTCCCTTCGCTGCCCTTTTGTAGCCATGGATCGATTCGTCACGTCTTTGTTTCCTGAACGGCTATTTGTCATGATAAACAAACGTCGACAATACAACATGGTGCAAGTTGCTTCCCACTTCAATTAAGAAACAAAAATAAGTACCGTAATACTGTGTCAGGCTTCAACGTAAGATACTGTTCCGTGCAGTGGTTGCCACATATTAACTTTCACAAGTCGCCACCCACAATATAACTTTGGAATCGTTTGCATTGAAATTGTTTTCTTTTTTTTGATTTTATTCCACTGCAAATTGCCTTAGTCTTATTCTTTTTCAAGCTTGCAAATAGCATTAAACAGCGGAAATGAACACCCAAAATGATCAGAACGGCCCTATTTACCAGGCCCGAAAAAGGTGTCTAATGGTTGCGAGTTGGTTGTATTAATGCGATTATATTGTAGGTAGCTTTCTTCACTTCAATTCTGGGTCTGAATCCATAAACATTTATCTTTTGGCATTTCCAAGTGTTGCAAAAGTTTTGACTGAGCCTGTAGTTTCTCTATTGCAAGGTTTTAACGATGTGTGAATAGAAAAGAGGTGGAGGGGGGAGGGGGTATTGCCACATATGGGCTGTAGGTATGTGCCGCTGTTAAGGGTAATGGTTTTCAAGCAGTTTTCTCTGGGATAGAGTATATAACAGAGCGTTTGGGTCTCGAATAGGGTATCATTTTCCAGGAAATTGATCAATTGGTTGAAGATTTTAGCCTAGACTAGGGAAACCGGGAATTGCCACTAAAAAATGTACAAAAATCAAATCGGCATCATATCTAGGATAAGGGGCGGGGGTTTTGAAGAGTTTAATCCAGTATAGGGTAGCAAAATTCAGCTGAACTAGCTCTGGTGTAGGCTAAGGGTTCCAGGGTCCCAGCGGCACATCCCCACCCAAAAATTCCTAAAGTACTCCCCTCCCCGGGCCTAAGGGTTATATTTATTTTGTTAACTGTGTGTATATGGTTACTCCATTTGCTTCTACTAGTCATGGTAAGAATAGCATCGCAAGCAAATGCCCATCAACGAACAGCGACCTCCGAAGCTCAAGAAAACTCGAGGAAAATACTGAAGACAAGACAGAAGCCATGCTTGATATCCCAGCGAAACCACGGACTACAGAGAATACTTCACAAACAACTATTTCAACAACTGTTCTCTCTTGCAACTGCAGAAAATATTGTCCAGCCGTTAACAGCACCAAACTAGAGGTAAATTACCGCCGTTTGTTTTCGTATGTGTTGATGTGCGAAGTTGTTTATTGAGGAAACGCTATATGAGTAGCAGTTGAGTTATTTCTTAGGTCAAAATGTAAGGCTAGACAAAAGAGTAAATAATCTCAACTAAGTCGGCAGTAAGTTTCGCCATATTGAAACGGTAGAGAAATCTTTATCTGAAAAAGTCAGTTTACGGTTACAAAAAATTCTACACCGCGAGCGGTCGTCCTTCTTTC